CCAAACCCAAACCCAAACTCATAAACCCAAACCCAAACCCAAACCCATACTCAATACCCAAACCCAAACTCCCAAACAGTTTGGGTTTGGGTTTGGGTTTGGTGCATGCCTAGTATGGACATTATGTAGGCCCTAATGACCTATGAATGTCCTGAAAAAAGTTCGTGCTGCTAGCTTCTTACTGCTGAGATACAGCATTTTTACTGTGTGTTTAAGGAAAAAGCCGTGGTCCCCCTCAGGAACATCAGGAAAAGTGACTTTTGATTTTCCACCTGAAACTTTGCATGTAGACAGGCCTCAATGAGAATAGTTTATTGTGAAGGTTTCAGATTTTTTGGTTGCTCCTAGTCTGAGATAAGAACATCGGATCTGCTGGTGTATATGAACAATTTTACGATAGCTATACCTTAGGATAGGAACAGCGAAAAGAGCTGAAACTTTCACAATAAACTATTCTCATTGAATCCTATATCTATGCAAAGTTTCAAGACGAAATTCGAAATTCAGTTTTCCGATGTTTCTGAGGGGGACCACGGCTTTTTCTTTCTTAAACATACAGTAAAAACGCTGTATCTCGGCAATAATAAGCTAGCAGCACGAACTTTTTTCAGAGAATTCATAGATCGTGAGGGCCTACATAATGCGCATACGTTCAGCTTAAAAGCGATGTGACAGTTGAGAATGCTCCCTCGTGAGTTTTAAATAAATAAGCTGTGATTCTTTCAGATTACGTGAAAAATTAACTTTTTAAATTCTTCTTCAAACTATACACGAACAAAGTTCTCGATGAGATTAATTCATTGAATAATTAGTAATTTTTCTAGTATAATCATATCCTGAGATATTTGATATTTGGAAACTTTTCATATATAAAAGCAATTTTTGTTCATGTATTTACATCTCGATAAAAGAAAAGTAAAACTTGCACAATCATCTAGTCACACTAAGAACTTCATTCATCAATAAAATTTCAATATTTCGAGTAAGAAAATCTGTAAAAGCAAACGATTCTAGACTTGTCCATGATTTACTAGCACTCATCAAATAAATAACATCTTAGTTAAAAAGTACTTTGACGTCTGAAGAAATTTCCTTTGTTAACATGGTAGTGATAGATAGTTTTCCAAGACAAATCAAACAATAGAAAAGAGTATTATTGTGATATTTACGCATTCGGTTTTTTCTGTTTCACTGCTGGACGATCAGGATAATTGTTTATCACTTCATATCTCTAATAATGAAACAAAATAATTCAAAAATTAAAACTATATTAATTTCCTTACTTTACTTCCATGATGAATTTGATGTTGATATCGACGATCATTATGATTTAATGTATGATAACCACTATCATTATTACTTAATTCTTGATTATCATGTATGTTTCGTATGCTATCAGATGATTTTGCACGTTGTGATGTACCATCTATTTAAATAGTAATAAGATAACTATTAATAAATAAGATATTACTTACTAGACAGTCTTTCTCTAGATAATTGTAACATATTTTCATGTGAATGATATTCATTTGATCGCATAGATTCATTATCATTAATAATACCACGACGAGGAGAATTTTTTAATTTTAAAAGATTTTCATCACTTGTTGTGGTTCGTAAAGAATTTTGATTTTTGCTATTATCATTTATAGATCTTTCAATATCAATTGATCTATTTGCTATATGTGTACGATCAATATCAATACGTTGATAGTGAGCAAAACGATTGTTATTTGGAGATCGAGCATCTGAAGAAAATTTTAAATATGAATTTTATTTTTGTTGATTAAATTATATATATATATATGGGTATTCCATAAGATTTACTAGATGATATTGGATTATTTTGTTGTTTCTTTGGTAGAACAACAGATGTTGGAGTTCGTCGTTGAGCAAGAAGACGTGCTGTTTCTATATTATCTAGATTTTTAACACAATTTCTCTATAAAATAAAATCAATCACCTAATTATAGATTGAAAATTTTATTAATTAATAATTACTTCATGTGTTTGAAGTTGTTTAGCTAAAAATAATTGTTGACAATATTCACATGGAATTTTTTCCATAACAGGTTGTTGACTCATCGTTCTAGATATATTATTTACAAATTTATACTCATCAAACAATATTCAACTCACTCAGCACGTCTTTCTAATCGTTGTTTTTCTCGTTCACGACAATTTTGCTAAATCAAATAAATTTATCAAATAAAATAATCGATATAAAAAAAACGAAATACAAATTTACAGTATGATTTGACCAATTCGGTAAATCAATTAGTTGTTGACAAATTTCACACGGAATATGAACAATACCTTGTGAAGCACCTCGATTTTGATTTGACCTCGAAGGTATTACAGATAGTTGTTTACGATTAATATTTGCTGGATTTTCCAGACACTTCTCCTATAATAATATAATGTGATATTTGTTTAAAGTATTGCAAAAAAAAAAGCCAAATTTGAAAACGTTTTCTTTTTTTAGAAAAATTACCCTATGAGTTTTATAATCACTTTTTACACATCGATGATGACAATATTCACATTCAATTGCTATTAAGGCATTATCTTTAAAGTAAAAAATAATATTAAATAATCAAAAAGTTTTTGTTTTTTTCTTTTAGAGATTAATAAATATTCACTTGAATTTGATATTA